AGGCAAGTGCCAAGGAAGTGGAAGGAGAGCGTGACGGTGCTAATTCCCAAGGGGGGGGAGGACCCAAAAAGCGTGAAGAATTGGCGACCAATTAATCTACAGGACTGCATATACAAACTCTACGCAGCACTGTGGGCTCAGAAGATTGCCGCGTGGGCAATCAAGAGCGGCGTCGCTTCCAAGTCGCAGAAGGGATTCATGCCAGTGAACGGGTGCCATGAAAACCTATTTCTCGCCCAAAGCATTCTCAACTCTACGCGCAGGAGCAAGAAACCGCTGTACATGACCTACTACGACTTGCAGAACGCCTTTGGATCCATCTCCCACCAGCTCATACACGTTGTCTTACAGGCTCAACGGCTACCGAAGCATGCCCGGGAGGTCATCATGGACCTCTACCACGGAGCAAGCTTCTGCATCTTAACGAAGGAGGGCTGCACTGGTCGCATAGCCAACCAGCGGGGAGTCAAACAAGGCTGCCCGCTCAGCCCCATCCTCTTCAACCTTGCCATTGAGCCTCTGCTGCAGCGGCTAGCGGCGTGCAATGAAGGCCTTGAACTGCGTACAACAGATGGGAAGCCACAGGTGAAAGTCTCCCATATGGCGTATGCAGATGACCTGAAGACGGTGGCCGCTACACGCGTCGGTATCAGCAAACTCCACCAGGTGGTGGAAGATTTTCTTCAATGGACGGGACTTAAGGCCAACCCGTCTAAATGCGCAACGCTGGGATTGAAGGTGCAAAAGGCCAAGCAGGTACCAGACCCCGTCAAACTCACCCTACACAACGAGGTCTTACCAGTGGTGAAGCTGGGAGAAGCCTATAAATACCTGGGCATCAAAGATGCGGTGGAATCACCAGTGCAGCAGAGCCAAATCCTTCGAGTCATGAGCAGAACAAAGAAGGATTTGAACAAGCTCCTCAGGTCAGAACTTGACCCGTGGCAGAAACTCGATGCGCTGCGCACTTTCGTGATGTCCCGATTGGACTATTATCTCAGGCATTGCTACCCATATAAACAACAACTGGTCGCATTCGATGTCTACGTCCGTGCCGCCCTGAAGGCAGCCTTCAAGCTCCCAAAAAGCACGAGCAAAGAGGTATTTCACCAGCCGATTCCCAATGGCGGCTTGGGTTGTACCTCTATACAGACGATGGCCGCTGCAACGCAGATTGGACATGCTATCCAAATGCTCAACAGCCCTGATGACATGATCCGAGCGGTTGCAGAAGGACAGGTGCTGGAGGTTATTAAGCGGGCATTTGTCTACACACCAGATGACGAGACTAGCGACCGAGAGGCTATTCTTGCCTTCCTCAACGGCAAAGATATCGGCTGTCTACGACGGAGAAGCAAGAAAGCGGATATAAGAAGCCTCTGGTCAGAACTCCCAGGTAATATCGCGATGAGCAAGACGCGACTCGCAACTGGGGTTAATGGCCGCTATGTGCTTCAGAAAGCAGATGGCGCCGCTCTCGACCAGAAGCAGCTCATTAGGAGTATTAAACAGCATATGGCGGAATGGCAGCGGGAGGTGTGGAAAGAACAGGTGGATCAAGGAAAATCGGTGGCTTACCAGACGGCGGATAGTAACGCGTTTCTACGGGGGCCGTCTCGTCTGAAGCCCGAAGACATCATCTTCGCCATCAGGGCGAGATCTGCGCAGCTCCCCACACGGCAATACCTCAAACGAATTGGGGTAACAAAGCTAGCCCGTTGCCGCCATTGTACAGCTGACCCTGAAACCCTCGCGCATATCCTCAACCACTGCCCGCACAGTATGG